GCACAGTTTCTCCTGTGCAGTTTCCAAGCCTGGGGCTCTCAGGCTGTCCCCCCACCCCTCCTCACCTACTGCAGAAACAGAGAGTGGGACACCTTTCAGGACCTGGTAATTTGATCCCCCAAATCTCCTGCTTGTCTTCAGTGTTTCTTAAATTTTCCAGAGGAGACTAGGGGATGCATATTTAAGAAAAAGATTTTTTTTTTGTATTTATAGAAATACGCCACATCATTATTAAACCAAACAAATGATATGTTCCAATAAAAGTCTGTTATGACAAATTGTGCACTGCTGGGGCTCCCTTCCTTCCACGTGCTGTCCACACAGTGACAGGACCTGAATCCTGGAGCAGAGAGATCTGGGTTCTACCCTTGCCAGTTGGGGGCCTCAGTTTCCCACCTGGAAATTGGTGAGGGAATTGGACTGATGAACTCTGGGGTTTTCAAACTGAATTTTTTTTTTTTTCCAACTGAACTTTGTAGAGCTTTGGCGATTCTTTGGCTACCAACTGGGGGTGGGCAGAGAAACCAAGAGGGTGGGGTTGAGAGCTCCTGTAGCCCTCACAGTATACACTTCATCTTTCACCCACTGAGTTTTCCTGCAAGATCTTATTTGGAGTAAGGGCCTTGGTGATTGCACAGATAAAGGGCAAGCATTGTTTGAGTTGGTTACTGCTCTCGACACTGAACCAGTGTGGGTGTCACGGTGTGTGTGGGTGAAGGGCAGAGGCCCTGCCTTTCAAGGAGGGGGCTTGAGTCATAGTTACTGAGCTGAGAGGGATGGTGGTGCCTGTTGGTCTTATCCTGCCTTGGCTTGGACTGATCATTCTTGCTGGGTGGCCACTTAGCCTCTCTGGAGGTGACCACCTGGCTACTGACCTGGTATTGCATCCTGGATTTTTTAGGGTCTGAGCCAGCGTGGGCAAGGCTTGGCACTCCCAACACCCTGTCTCTGTGGGGGCCTGGGCTTGGCCTGCCAGCTGATGCCGTTCCTGGGGCTGGACTGTCCATCAGCCATGTTCTTCCTTGAGCCTGGCCACCACTGTCTGAGGCTGCTCCTGTGCCTGTTTCTTCATCTCAATAGGAGGGAAGGGGAGGGAGGAAAGATGGTTATTCTATGCTGCGCCCTGCTGGGCCAACTTTCCCCTTGTCTCCAGGCCAGCTCTAGAAAAGAACCCAGGGCACAGGAGGGGCTTCAGATACATAATTTTGGTCCTGCAATATCGGTGGTCAGTCTGTGGTGATGATCTAGGTTCTTTTTTTTTTTTTTTTTGCTCCCAGGACCTCAAGCTTGCCAGGCAGGCATTGTGCCACTGTGCCATATCTCCCAGCCAGGCCTATGGTTCTTCAGCCAGAGTCCAGGAGTTTGGTGAAGGAGCTTTAGATGAAATTCAAGGTGGGGGGAGGCTGAGAGTTAAGGCTCTGGGACCCCCTCCAACCTTTGCTTCAAGAGGTATTTTTCTTAAAAAAATTATCTTAGATTTGGTAGAATTTTAAAAGATACGATTTCCAAGTTTCTAATTTTATGATGTAGAGTCAGACCTAGAGGCGAGAAGCAGTTTATTAGAAACCACAAAGAAAGTCAATAGCTATTTATAATATACATTTATTGAGGATCTCTATGTGCAGGGTATGATACATGCATGGATAATTGCCTTCTCCACAATAAACCATCACATAGGAATGTTTACTATATCAATTTGCTAGGAGGGGAAACTGAGGCACAGACAGAAGAATCAGAGGGCCTGGCAGAGTATGGATGTGAACTTGACTGTCCCAGTAACCTTCACCCTGCACTTCTGCCCAGAGTACCTACTGCCAAGCTTCATGCTGGGTGCCTAAACTATTCCTTCATCTGCATCTGGTGCCTTCACCTAAGCCGCAGGGAGCTGGCCTCTTGGCCTCTGGGGTGGAGAGAAAGGCAGGAATGGGATCCCAGAGCATGTATTGACTCAGGATATGGAGAAGTCCCACTGAAGGCTGGAAGACACAGCAGACTGAGGGAGGCCTCTGTCATGATGACAGCTGCTAGGGTTGGAGACGAAGGATGCCGTGCTGTGCAGAACAACTTAGGGACCTTAGAGACATCATCCAACCTTCAGCCACCTCATCTACAAAATCGGCAAGACAGTCTCAGGCCTGCCCACTTCTGAAGGTCAATTATTCAGGAAACAAGTGCCAGAGAGACATGTTTCAAACTGTTAAGGGCCACCTAACAGGAGGGGTACGTGTTTCAGGAAGGGGTGGGTCCTGAGTTGGAGGGTGGGATGCTGCCACCTTCAACCTTATTTGGACAAGTAAACAGAACGACAGCTGGAGTTTATTACTGCTTTCTCCTGTCATTTTCCCAGCCCTGCGTCTCTCTGCTTATCTCCTGTGCAGTGCGACTGTGGCAGGTGCATGATACATAAAGTGCTTTGTGCCACTCAGCAGCCAGGAAGCAGTGGGTGCATGTGGGGTGAGTGGGGTGGTCCCAGCCCTGTATGCTGTCACTGCTGCAGGGATTCCCCTCCAGGGACCTGAAATCACAGATGGGGAGAGTGGTTTCTTGGGGCTCTCTCATTAGCCCTGACCTTGGGCAAGTCATTTATCCTTTCTGCTTTATCAGTTAAAAACCAGGGGATGCACCCTCTCCTCTGCCTCAAAAGGTATTTATTTTGAGAAGCAAGGTCAACACTGGATGTTAAAAATGCTTTGGGGGAAAAACAGAAAGCATAATACAAATGTAAAAGCTTCTTGTCACTTTATCATCCTGCTTGTTAAGCTTTGTTTTCTCTCCCAGTTCTGGGCCTCAAAGCTAAACTCAAAGCAGACACCCAGTAGAGCCATAAGGAATGGGGACAGGCGGCTTGGGAAGCGCAGGACAAACTGCCTGGATTCCTGTCCTGGCCCTACAAGTGGGATCTGGGTAGTGCCCAGTCCCCTCAGCTTCCCTGTCCCCACATGTAAATTACACGGCTGAGCTAGGTAATCTCTGCGGATCCTCCTTGCTCTGATGGTTCAGAAATTCAGATGAGCAAAGGGCGCTGCGCCCCTCCCTCACTAAGTGGCTTCTCACATGTGGATTGCACATCCCTCTCTGCCAGTCACCATAAGCCTCATTTCATTTTCCTTCATAACTATCCCTAAGGGCTCACAGGCAGCTGTTCAGCCATGTGCCCCGTTTTACTGCGGAGACTACAAGAGATGCCACACCCTATGCGTTATGTCTAGCAAAACAGAGGGCTGGGATTCAAACTCGGACCTGAATCCAGAGATTGTTTAGCCCACCCGCCACATTGCCTCTCATCTCTGGAACCCTTTCTTTTCTCTGGAACAGGGGATCTGGTCTCTGGAAGTCAATCTATATACACTTTAACACAGTTTCCAGAGGGTGGTGGGCCAGCCCTATCACCTCCTCCCCCACCCAGAGTTTTAGATGAACGGGTGCACCTGATATCCCCTCCCATGCGGATGGGACTCCTTGCTGGGCAGCAGCTTGGAGCAGGTGACCCACATGCACCTTAGCCCGGCCTCACGCAGGCTGCGTGACCTTAGGCTGGCTCTGCCTGGCGGCGCTGGTCTGCGGGGTGGGGGTGGGGGACGACACCACACACCAGGTGCTGCAGGCTGGGGCGAGGATAATGAGCACTTCTCACGCACCTTGCCCCCTCGGAGTTACCATCTGCCTGGCAGATGCGTCTCCCAGGCCTCCGGGGCAGCCTTAGTCTACCTCCTGGGATGGAGGAACCTGCTCCTCGGCTTAGAGGCCGCAGTCTCCCTACGCTGTTGCTGGCAGGGAGGTCCCCAAGGGCAGCGGGCGGCAAGCATGGGACGTCCCCGGCGGAGGCAGAAGGCGCTGGGAGCGGGGCATCCCCGGCAAGCCCAGAGTAAGGAGGCGCTCCCCACCTCTGCGGGAGGCGGGGCAGCCCCTCCCCCACTGCGGGAGCGGGAGCCGGGCGCAGGGGTGGGTGTGGGGCGGGTGCAGGGACCCCGTCTGAGGTTTCGGCCGCTGGGCTGCGAAGGGCCGAAGTGGGCTTAAGCGTGGTGGGGGAAGGGCCGCGGGAAGGCGTGTCCCTCGAGCTGCCTCCGCCGACCTTTCTCGCTCCCGCTCTGGCCTCCGGGGAGGTCAGCATCCGCGTCCTTCCCCGCGTCGGTCCCCTCGCCTCCCCCACCCGCTCCCGGTCCCCCGCCCCCCGCCCGGGTCCCACAGAGCCGCGGAGTCGGCGCGCACCGGCTCGGAACCGCGTAAACACCCTCGGGGGGGGGGCGCGGGGCGCGGCCCGGGCGGGGGCGGGCGGGCCGACGGGCCGGGGGCGGGGGCAGGAAGCCAGGCGCGGCCCGGGGCGGCCTGCGCGGCCGTGACGTCGCCAGCTCGCTGGGATCTCTCCCGGCCGCGGTCCCCGTCCCTCCCTCCGCCCTCCCCCGCCGCGCGCCGAGCCGCGGCCGGCATTTCTCGCTGGCAGCTCGCTGGCTGGCTGCGCCTGGTCCCTGCCTCCTTCTCCCCATCTCCTCCTTCCCTCTCCGACCCCCTTCTCTCCCTCCCGCTCCTCCACCCCTGCGCTCCTCCCTGCCTCCCCGATCCAGATCTAGTTTCCTCCCTTCCTTTCGGTCTCTCCTTTCTCCCCGTCCCTGCCTCCTCTCCCTTCGCTTTTCCTCCCCGGCTCCCCTCGCCGTCTCTCCCCCTCCTCCCCCGGCTCCCCGCCCCTCGCCCTCGCCGCTCTCGCGTCCTCCTCCCGGACCCCGCGCCGCCCGCGCTCGCCGCCGCGCGGGGTGCGCCCTCCTCGGTCCCGCGCCCTCCGGGCTCGCAGGGACGCCCCCTCCCTCCCTCCCTCCCTCCCGGCTCGGCCCCGCCCGGCGGCCCCCGCCCCGCGCCGGAGCGAGCGCGCCGAGGATGTGAGTGCTGCTCTCCGCCGCCGCCGGAGCAGCAGCCACTCGCGCGTCGAGCCCGAGCGCAGCGCAGCGCATTCGCGGGCGCTCGCTGGGTCGCTCGCGCGGGCGGCGCGCTCCTGCCCTAGCGGTGTCCCCCGGCCCCTTGCCGGCGCCTCTGCCGCCGCGGCCCGCGGGCCGTCCCCAGCCGGCCGCCCCCGGCCCCAGCGCCGCTGACCCTGTCCTCCGCGGGCGGGGACGCGGGCGGAGGAGGTGCCGCCGCCGAGCCCCCGGACGCGACCATGTCGGAGGTGCTGCCCTACGGCGATGAGAAGCTGAGCCCCTACGGCGACGGCGGCGACGTGGGCCAGATCTTCTCCTGCCGCCTGCAGGACACCAACAACTTCTTTGGGGCCGGGCAGAACAAGCGGCCGCCCAAGCTGGGCCAGATCGGCCGGAGCAAGCGGGGTGAGTGCTAAGCCCCTTCTCCAGCACCCCCGTCCTGCCCCCGCGCGGCCTGCGGGGGTCGCTCGGCTGCGGAAGCCTGCTGCGCCCCGGTGGAATCCCCTCCTGCAGAGTGGGGGATCCCGCACTGCGGGTCGGGTCAGGCCGGGCCGCAAAAACGGGTCTTCTCAGCCGAATACCGGCTAGGGTCACCCCGGGGGCGTGGCGGCTCCTGGCTACTACAGAGGGCGGTGAGTGGTTCCGAGGACCCCACCCGGGCCAAAGTTTGCTTGTTGACCCCCACCCCCAGTTTTGCGCAGTGGAGTCGCAGCTGTGTTTGCTTTAAGGTCCTGGGGAGGGGGAGGGGGGTTTCAGGACTCCCCAAGTGAGGGCCTGGGAAACTGCGGGGGGAGGATCCCATTCCCTTAGGGAAGTCGAGGGCCACTCGGGTGGCACCGGCTTTTCATTGTTACTTGGCGGGGGTGGTGGTGTGGGTTTACAAGCCTGGCGCTCCGTGTGGGAGCTGGAGAAGCCCCAGAGAGACAGACGCTGGGCGGCTCCGAGAGGAGCCCTCTAGGCTCGGGGACAGCGAGGGAGCAGGACGGCCCCTGGGAGAGCCCGGGACGCCTAGGTAGAGCCGAGGGGGTCCGAGGGTAACGGAGGACAAAGCTCCGAAAGGGAGCTGTAGAGAGAGATCACGGGGACGCCAGTCAGGGGAGCGCAGAAAAGCAGCCTAACAATGAGGGTGACCGGCACCCCACACATAGAGACCCCGAGACCTGGAAGGCGAGCCTTGAGCTGGGGGATTGGTGGAGGGACTGAGGAAGGTGAGGCTAGTTGGAGGCGTTGAAAGAAGCCGAGGGGACGTGAGAGGCGGAGCCCCAGGCGGGCAGCAAAGGGAGGCTCTGCTCTCTGCTGTAGGGGGCAGAGACCAGGGACCCAGGCCGCCCGCCGGTGGCGGCGCAAAAGGGACACCTGCCCAGGCCCAGGCCTGAACCCTCAGCCGGCTCGCTCGCTCTGCTAACCTGCCCCGGCGTCCCTGCCTCATTCCCTGCACGTCCACACCCAGCTTTGGCCCTTATCGGTGCCCTCCCGACATCTCTGGGGGTCCTAGAGACCAAAGACCTTGGCCGCCTCCCTGTCCACTCCCTTTCCTACCTCGGAGGCTCCTTTCCAAATAAATGCTGTAGAGAGTGGAGGACCAGGCCAGGGTGCGCCCTGCCCGGGCTGCTGCCACTGCTGGTTGGCACCTTTCACTCTTCCCGTTAGGACCCATCTGGGACGCAGTTGAGGGGTGGGCAGTTCACAGAAAGGGAAGGGACTCCTGACCCCTTCGGAGAGGATGGGGCTGTTTCATATTGAGGGGTGCCCTCCTCCCCAAACCTTACTGGGAACAACGCCGAATGTCAGAGACCCCTCACTAGGCCCATTCATGCTCACCTCACCTCTCTTTTTACCCCCCTTTTTTGCAGTTGTTATTGAAGATGATAGGATTGATGACGTGCTGAAAAATATGACCGACAAGGCACCTCCTGGTGTCTAACTCCCCCAAAGACAATGAGTTAAAGAATGAGAACAGCTGCGGTAACAGTTATTGGCAAAAAGCATGAAAAAGAGAAAGCACTTTGAAATTTATTACTAGCTTGCTACCCACGATGAAATCAACAACCTGTATCTCGTGTCAGGCCGGGAGACAGATGAGGCAGGAGGTAGAGGAGGAGGAGGAGGAGGTGAAGGAGGAGCAGGCTTTGGGCTCCTCTGCAAAAATAAAAATTTAAAAAATATATATAAAATAAAAAAGTTCTAAAAATCACTATATACACACATATAAAAAGTCTCAGTTGCAGCTATTTGTCAAGATTAATATCTATTTCTTTTTATATACGGTGAATATTGCGCAATTATAGATCTGGATTTTGAACCACTTAACGAAGCGACAGCACCGGGCGTTTTGAGGTGTTGGCATTCTTCGCTGATTTGGCTGTATCCAATGTTTACATTATTTCATCTTGCAAAAATGATTCTGTGCGCTTGGATGTGAAAATGCTGTCCAGTTTTATTTTTTTATGTTACCCTTGGATGTACAAAGAAATGAAGAAAGGATCTCTGTAGATACTGTTTTATTTTGCTCATCTTTGGAAGTTATTAGGAATGTGTTTAAAACAAAAAGATAACTTTTCTAAGGAATGAGACATAGAAAGGATCCTCCTTTTATTTTAAAATGCATTGTAAAGCTTGTGTTTCTTTGTTGCTGCAAGCTATTTGCCCAAGTTAATGCAAATGGACACATTTTATATGTCAGGAAAAGAAAAAACCATGAAAAACAAAAAAATGCTTGAGCTTTTTCTAACCTTCCCCTGCAGTCTGTTGTGTGAGCCGCTTGTTTTTTTCTCTAATATTGTGTCAGTTTATTCTCTTTAATGGACTGTAAAAAAAAAAATGTAATCACAAGAGTGCCAAATATCTTGAAATGCCAAAAGGCATTTTGGTTTCTTTCCTTTTTCCCTGTGCTCTGAGTCCACGTACAGGAATGCTTGGAGTGTCTTTTCTGTTATTTATAGGGGTTCTCTTAAGGCGCACCAGCTGCCTGTTTTGCATGGTATTTGCAAAAATGCCTCTTGCGTGAGGAATCTTTTACCATTTCTCTTTTCTGTTTTGTTTGTTTGTTTGCAACTTTGAACCTCAAGAGGTTTCCCTTCCTTTCTCAGTTTCCTCTTTTCTTAATTCGATATTCTGTATGTTGCACCTTGAACCAGCACACAGGGCTATTTCTCCAATGTACAATAAAGAACTGTTCCTGTGTCTCACTCATCTCTTTGCTCCGCGTTGGTTCTGGGGACTTGCTGCGATCTGCTGGTTGCCCACAGGAAGGAGCTGGAGGGTGGCTTCAGGCTTCCAGGCAGAAGGCATGGGGGTGGTACTGTGGGTGGGCTCCTGTGAGCAGGGTGGGGTTGCTGAAGGGTCAGGGGTAATCTCCAAGTGTGAATTTACTCCATTTTGGATTTGTAAATTGGGGCTTGTCTGGGGCTTCTGCCATTCAGGTGGGATGGTGAGAAGAGATGATGAGCTAGGAGGCTGTCAATATCTTGTGCGTCCCCTGCCCTGTGGGATTGAGCCCAGGGATTTAGCCCTGAGCTACATCCCCAGCCCATATATGTATACTTTTAAAAAATTTTTACTTAACCTATTTTAGACGAGGTCTCCCTAAATTGCTAAATTGCCCCATGCTAGGCTCAAACTTGTGATCCTCGTGCCTCAGCCTCCCAAAGTGCTGGGATTACTGCCAGTACTCCTGGCTGAAACTGCCAGTCCTAAGGGTGATTGAGAGGCAGACATTCAAATACCAGCTTCTTGACTTCCTAGCTCTGAACTTGAACACAGAAAGTCCTTAAACTTCCATAAGCCTCAGTTGCCCAGTTCATAAAGTGGGGGATAATCTGCTTCCAGCTTCAGGGTGGAGAGGAATTACACACAGTGCATAGGAACAGGACTGCAGAGGAGGTCTGCTCTTCCTCTCTTCCCACAGGTTTCCCTCCCAGAGCTCACTGGTCCCTTGCCTGAGGATGATCCCATTCTTCAGGACCCACAGTCAGGAGGTCTTAGGCATCCACAGCAGCCTTTCCTGTGGCCACTTGGAAAAGCTCCTTAAAAAAGGAATCTCAGCCCCTTGTTCCACTGAGGCAATTAATGGGGGTGGGTCAGGCCACTGGGGGTGGGGTGGGGTTAGGAAGGAGGGATCTGGATGAAGAAAGGCTGAGATAGGTTTTCTGCCTGGGCTGTTACACGTACAGAAGCCCCAGTGCTGGGAGCTTTTAATGTGTTTGTTGTAAAACTGTCAGCCGGGAATCAAAACAGCTCACAATGACAGGAGCCTGAGTGTGACTCAGACAGCAGGTAAGAATACCCAGGAAACGGGAAGAAGAGGGGCTCCAGGGACCCATGGGGGAGGGGTTGGCGTATCATTCCCATTCCCAGGCAGGGAATGCCCTGTGGCTCAGCAGGCCCAGCCTGGAGCTGTGCATCAGAGCCATCATGCTTAGGATTGGCAGGGAAGCTGGATCTGTGATAGGCGCAAGATGACTGGAGTGCCAGTTTGATGTTCCAGGTGATGGCCCTCACCTTGAACTTGGCTTTCTCCCTGTGGACCCTGGGGACTCCCAGTGCTTCAGAGCAAAAAAACCTGGAAGTACCATAGAGCCTAGTTATCCTCTTGACCCCCTTCGTTTCCCTTAAAATGCTGAGGAGTACTGTCTCTGTACAGTAAGCAGCAGGTGTCCCTTCTGTTTGGACGACAATCTGCCAAAAGGGGCAGGAGGTATGCAAAAGATTCCTTTGGAAGACTCAGTTTCTGTCCACACTTAGGAGTGATTACTTTGTACGGCCCTGATCAAAGGGCCATGCAATTCCTATTTATTCCCATTTTTTCTCTCACAGAATCATTCCAGCAACTTGGGAAGCACAGTTCACTCCCTTCAGTAGGTGAGAAGTTGAGGAGACCCCAGAGAGGCTAAAAGGACCATGTAACATCCTCATTAACTGAGCTTTTGCTATATGCCAGGCTTGCATGAGCCCCATGAAATAGGCACCATAACCACCTTGATTGTACTGTACAAGGCAGAACTCTGAAAGGTTGCAGAGGCAGGATTGGATCCCAGAAGTCATACTCCAAGGTGGGGGATGCAGAATCATCTGACCCCATACCTAGGCTCACACCCAGCTGCAGCCATGTCCTTCAGCCCTTGGTGTCCTTTTGGTTTGTTGTTACTGCATCAGGGGTCACAATGGGGCTGGGCTTGCATGTGGTCAGCTGTAGCCTGGAGCTGCCCTCTGCTGGGAAAGGGTGAGGTGGGAGCCGTGGGCCAAGGCTCTAGGTCCATTTTAATAAGTAATGCATTAAAAAGTTAAGCAGTGAAATTGGGTTCTCTGCCCAGGAAGACAGAGTCTGCCTTTCCTGGGGAATCCATTCAGCAAAAGGGAAAATAAATCTTTTAAATATACTATAGCATCGGGTAAACATTTGTCAAGAAGGCACTTTAGGGCCTGAGCAGATATCCCATTATACCAAGTGAAAGATATGTTTGAAGTATCTGGATCGACAGCAATAAATATGGAAAGGGCTATTAAAAGATCAAGGTGGGGGAGGGTATTTCTGACTCTCCAAGCATTGACTGGAGCACCAGGGCTGCATCATTCAGACTTAACTAATTGAATGCTTGTAATAAGCATGTATCTTCCATTCCCTGTCCAGGCTGACAGCCTGAAGGAATAGCAAAAGGCTAAGGGGGAAATTGGCAAATTAAGTTTTAAAACAAAATATTGTCTGGAGGCCACAGATGAAGGAATGAGAGTGGGGTGCCTCTGTGGAGGTGGGGGGCTCAGAGCCTGCTCCCAGGTGAGTAGGGGCTCTGGCAGGAGGTTCTGCCTAGAAAGGGACTGACATTAGAGTGGCTGGTACATGAATCTGGGACTTGGATGGCTCAGATTTGAAATCTCTAACATAGACTTTGTAATTGCAAGTTGGGGGCATTTCTCAAGGTCTTTCGGCTTGTTTTGTCTATAAAATGAGGATAATGATAATCCTTAGGGAAGATCACACAAGAACCCCTTTCACTGCCTGAACACAAGGCCAGATTTGTAGTAAGTGGCAGCCGTAAAGATTAACACCTATGCAGTGCCTGCCCGGTGCCAGGCAATGCACACAGCCAACAGCTCTTGTTGTGTGAAGCTTCTTTGCAGATAGTTTTTTGGCAGCTGCACTGAGGGACAGTAGTGGCTTCTTGGGGTGGGCATTTGCACACATTGTTGGGAGGTGATTTAAGGGAATCAGCCCATCTCTCATCATCTCCATCTGTTCCCCAAAGTCCTTCAATTAAAAAAAAAAAAAATACTAAGTAAACCTGTGTGCTTGCTCCCAAAGGGAACTGTCAAGAGAGGTCACCAGTCTTCCAATCAGATTGCTGAGGCCTTCTGTCTCTGGGTGGGTAAGCCTGGCTTTCTGCTGATTAGTTCCTTTGACAAGACCTTCCCAAGCTTCATTCATTTGATAAATTCTGATTTAGCACCTACTCTCTGCCTGCCCCTGTGTGAGGCTGAGTATAGGATAGTGAACCAAATAGGAGTTTTTCCTGGGCTGAAGAATGATTGTATTTCCTATGGAGGTGAGACTGGGATCTAGGGGTTTGGGTACCCTAAAAAATAGCAGCTCAGTTCCTTAGCGCATCAAAAACAGAGAACCAGAGACAATTGGATCTTGGAGATACCCTGAACCCCAAACATGTTTAAGAAAAAATAACCGTATACAGATAAGTTATGAAGATAATATAGTTGCCATATACACTGACCGAGTTTCTCTTGCTATTAACATCTGGCATTACTGTGGCTTTTTTTTTTTTGATAACTAAGGAGTCAACTTGGGTACATTCCTATGAATGATTTTTTTCAGATTTTTATCAGTTTTTACCTAATGCCTTTTGTTTGTTCCAGGATTCCATACAGGATACTACATTATCATGCCTCCTTGGGCTCCTCTGACCTGTGTGAATGTTTCAGACTTAGCTTGTTTGTGACGGAACACCGGAGAGGTATTTTGTAGGCTGTCCCTCAGTTAGTTGTCCGATGTTTTTCTCATGGTTCAGGTGAGGTTATGGGTTGTGGGAGGGAGACCATGAAGGTAATGCCCCCTTCTCCCCACATGGTATCAAGGGCACATGCACTAGACATGACTCACGCCTGGTGGTGCTACTCTTTAATCATCTGGTTGAGGTGGTGTTTGTAGGTTTCTCCACTGCAGAATTACTCTTTTTTTTTTTCTCTCTCTCCCCCTTTCTGTACTGCTTGCACTGGGAGAAAATCATTATGTACAAATCCACATTTAAAGGCAGAGAGTTCTGCTCACTTCCTTGCTCCTTGAGGGAGGGGTAACTCCATAAATTATTTGGGATTCTTCTGCACAGGCAATTTGAGTGACCCAGTTTTTCAACAGTTCGATCTCTGCCCTGTGTTAGGCAAGCCCACTGTGGTTTAGATGTAATCATGAGCTCCAGGCAAGTGGTGTGTGTGGAGGGGGAGGACCTCAAAATGTCCATAATGCCCAAGGTGTTGCCTGATGACTGATGGATGGAGCCGCGAGAGAGAGAGAGAGAGAGAGAGAGAGAGAGAGAGAGAGAGAGAGATGAAAAATATTAATAAAAGCAACTTCCTGTGGAAGATCTGTCACCCTGGTTAGAAACTCTGCAGAATTTTTTTCTTGGAAACCTTCAGGCAGCTGCTCTGGTTTATAAAATCTGCCTATTGGAGGGAAGGAGAAGAGGGGAAAAAAAAGGTTGTCATTCCAGCAGCAGATTCTCCCAAACCATATGCAAAAATAAATCCCCGGTGACTGCCGGTAACCGAGGAAACCTGGCAGCTGGAATGGAGCTTGTGGGGTGGCCCCTAGGGACAGAGATCCTGTGTCCGAAGGCCTCCCACCCCCACTTCCCGGAGGGAGGCAGCCACTGGGTATCTCCCACCCCCAGCTCGCCAGCGATGGGCCCCCCACTCAAGCTCTGCCCTGGGATTTGGTTTACCTTGTTGTCCCTACATTAGAGACTCTGTCCCCAACCCAGGGTAAGCACACACCCCTGGAGCCTGGAGGAGGGTCCTCAACCCAGAAACAGCGTTTCTGAGGACAAAGGGTCACTAAGGGGAGGAAGGAAGTTAGGGAGGACAAGCTGAAGGGAGGAGGATTTGGGACACAGGCCATGGGAAATCCTAACAGAATGGTGATGGAGTGGGGTGGGGTGGTGGGTCAGGCAGAGGAGACAGATGGTCAA